AGGCACAGCTATACATCTTCCCTCTATGGGAAAGGCACTCCATTCCCATTTTTTTCTCAGACAACTTTTGTTAGCAAAATGAGTGTGGGAAGTACAAAGAGGAGGACCCAAAGCTCCGGAGTCCCTTCCCCACTGGGGAAAAAAATTACAAAACTAAAATAAAATTTGGGGCTGGGGCAAAGGCTCAAGTCAGTGAAATGTTTGCCGTGTAAGTTTAATAACCTGAGTTTGGGATTCCTAGAACCTACATAAAAAGCCAAACATGATGACACACACCTGTGATCCAAGAGCCAGGGAGACAGAGACAGGAATGGGGGTGGTACGTGGTGCGTGGTGTGTGTGAGTGAGTGAGTGTGTGTGGTTCCTAAGGCTCGCTGGCCAGTCAGTCTAGCTTAGATACTGTGAGAAACCCTGTCTCATAAAACACATCAGTGGTGGGGTGGGATGAAGAGATGGCTTACAGCACTAACTGCTGCTCTTGCTCAGGACCCAGGTTCCATTCCCAGCGTCTACATGCAGTTAAACACTGTAACTGTAGGTCCAGGGGGCCCCAACTCCCTCTTCTGTCCTTCTTCAGCACTGCCCCTATGTGGTGCACAGACATACAGGTAAAACACCCATATACATAAAATAAAAATATTCTTTTAAAATACAGTGGGAAGCAACTGAGGAAGACATCCAACTTCAACCTTTGCCTTCAAATACACACATATAATTTTTTTTCATTTAAAGAAAATGAAACAGAAGGAAAAGAACAAGGAGGAGCTATGCTTGCTGGCATATACCTGTAAGCTCAGCACACAAGAGGCCAACGGAGGAAGGTACTGCAGTCATGACTAGCCTGGGCTACTTAGTAAGACCCTGTCTCAAAAAAAAAAAAAAAAAAAAAAACAAACCAAAGAAATGAAAAGAAACACATCCATTTATCATGACTTTGTATAAAGAAAACAACAGTTGGCTTCTTAGGTGGGGTCAGGATACTGGGAAACCAGCACAGCCTCTAAAGGGCGCCTGTGTCTTAGTACTCATGAGCTGCTGCTTTACAGGAACTCTGTCCTTACCTACCACAGCTCTGTGTGTGGCTCTGTGGTGGAATTCTTACTTGAAACCCTGGATTTCACCCCCAGCACTAGGGTGGCAGGCAGGGAAAGGACTAAATCTTGGCAAAAGTTTCAGTTTACCTCACAGGCTGGATCCTGGGGAAGTGTGTGTGTGTGTGTGTGTGTGTGTGTGTGTGTGTGTGTAGGTAACACAGGGGCTGAAGCAGACAGGGTGCCTCTGTGGCAATGTGAGCTCACTCCCCTCTTTCTCTGCACTTCCTTCACTGGCAGATGTCTCAGCCCAGACCAGGCAGGAGAAAGGTAGTCACCAGAGGGAAGCCTTCATACAGAGGCACTTCAGACTCTCTCAAAGAGAACAGCAGGGGGCTGGAGAGACCGCTCAGCTGTTAAGAGCACTGACTGCTCTTCTAGAGGACCAGGGTTCAAGTCCCAGCACCCACATGGCAGCTTACAACTGTCTGTAACTTCAAGATATGACAACCTCACACAAACATACATGGAGGCAAAACACAAGTGCACATAAAATAAAAATAAATTATTTAAAAGAGAGAGAAAACAGCAGGAGCCCAGGCAGGGGTGACGTGGTCCTGTGGACAGCCAGCTGGCCAGCCTTGCTTCATTCTATGTCTCCAGCACTCTGCATCTGGTCAGTCTCTTGGCCACTGGCCACGCACGTGCCATAAGCTTGGATCATCCCCACACCTGCTCTATTTGCAGCTCACCATCTCTGGACACTGCAAATCCTTCAAGAAACCTACTGTTCAGGCCCAAATCCCTGATGCCATCCTAGCATCTTTCCCTCATGACCTACATCCAACCTGAACTCTCACCTCAGCCTTTGAAATCACCATCTCTTTCCACAGCTCAGTCACATCCCTGTAGGATCTATGCAGCAGCCAGGTGGGCTCTGGCTGTTGGGTCTCACGGGACTCTCCACAATACCTCACATCACATTCAGAGCGAAGGCTACAGATAGAGTCAATCAACACACACTGCCTGGTGAGCCAACTTCAGTGTTTCAGTGCCACAGTTTTAAAACAAACAAATAGTATCAAAGAAGTAAATAAACATTTAAAACTAATGAAACGCAGTCTCAGTTCCCCAGATCACCTTTTGCAAATGGGCAGGAGTCAGCTATTTGACTGTATACCTGACCTTGTCTCTTTCATCCATGACCAACCCTGTCAGACCTGGCCTCAGCTGGTACTGAAGTGGGTGTAAACAGCTTGGGCAAGGAGGTCTAAGCAGACATACTCAGGTCTGATGAGACCTATCTATCAGGTGTGCAGGCATACTGAACTGTAAGTTGTTAGCCAGCCTAGAAAGGGATGGCTTTCAAAAATGCTTCTCCTGTCCACCACACCAATTGTTCTGGCCATTTGCTACCTGCACTCAGTACAGAGAAAGGAATATACCTGTATGGGACAGCCAGTGTGAGAAAGGAGATGACTGGATAGAACAGAGGTTTTAAATACATGCAGCCTGCTCAACATTCTCTCCACAGTATAAGTACCATGTAGCATATGGCAACATTAAAGAAAATTTAAAGTTCTCAGTTGATGACCACTATAAAAATTTTAATTGTACTAGCGTAATTCTTCTAAACTACGGATAATTTCAGTTTTGCAGTAGGAACAGCTGTTTACCTTTCTATTCCCTCAGGGAAAACACTATAATGAGCTGGCATCATGACACACACCTATAATCCCACTACTGGGGAGACAGAGCCAAAGAGATCATGAGGCCAACCTGGGCTAAACATGGAGTCCCTGTCAGGAGGGAAGGAAGGAAAGAACAGAAGGAAAAGAGGAAGAAAATATTGTAAGGACTAGGAGTGTAGCTCAGTGGTAGGGAACGTGCTAGAGGCCCTGACACACACACACACACACACACACACACACACACACACACACACACACGGCTGGGACTTCTTAAGGGCAGGAATGACTCCAGTAGGTTGAGGTTAAATGAATGCAAAAGAGGTAAGGGGGAAAACTGGGAAACAGCAAGGCTAGGGTCATCTCTGAAGCAGGAAGCTTTCTCAGGATGGAGCAAGGGAAACTTGGAGACAGTGTAATCTGGGGATCCTGGGCATATATCTTGGGAGATCCCTCCCTTTGAGGCCCTGGGCCTTTTAGCATAGAGCAGCCAGACCCTCAGCTGGTAACTGACAGTAGCCCACAAGGAAATAGAGCATTGGCATAGGAGGAGCCTGTGGCTAAGGGGAGGCCACTCCCGGTCATCTATGCTGCCTTGCTTGCTAAGGGCTGTTTTCTCCGGTCACAGCTTAATTACTCTAGATCATCATTTAGAGGCTCTTTTCCTCATCACAGGTTACCATGTCCTTGTGTGCCTTTGGTCTCTCAGCCGTTCCCTCACTCAATGCCAGGCAGGCAGGAAGCTGCATAATTCCAAGAGGGAGCCTCGACTCCTAAGCTTCCTGACCAGACTCCTAATGTCAGAATCTTTAGTTCACTGCCTTTTTTTTTTTAAAGCTTTTTTTTTTGTTTTTGTTGGGAAATTGCAAAAACAATATCTTTAAGTTAAAATTTATAAAACCCCTAAGAACTGTGCCTGTGGTACTGCAAGCTTCCAGTGAGCATCACTGAATATTAAAAGTTGCTTAAGCCTCTAATTCCTTAAAGCTTTAAATCCGGAAAGCCTCAGAACCTATAACTTCACTCATCAGCTTTTACATAGTAGTGCCTGAGTCCTAAATTTCCTTCTCGAAGTCACCAGGAAACAAACAAACAAAAAAACATTGTGGTGGAATCTTAAAAGTCCCTGCATACACTGACAAAGCTCTCTCTGAAGGATGCTGCAGAAGCGTGGAGATGGGAAACAGGGCTGCCAGTTCACAGAGGAGCTACTTTCCAGGAAGAGCGTCTGCCCAGAGCTACAAGCTATATCAGCTGTCAGGGAAGGGCTGCCTCCCCCCTTTTCTGCATATTGCACAGGGTAGTTTCAAAGTACTGTCCTTCCGGTTGTTGCTAAATTAAGGATGGCTTTGTGCATGCTAGGTACCACTATACCACTGGGCTTCATCCCCAGCACCATGGCAACACTTCAGAGTCTTTTCAGATACACCTGAAAATAACGCTTTTTGGATATAAGCCTTTCCGTCCACAGTTCTATTGTAACTCCTCCTCCCCTCTCCCAAGTCAGCAGCGAGCAAACACATGTCTTAGGAGCAGAGAATGGAACAAGCCCTAACTTAAACAGGGCCTGCTCTAACGTCTTGGGAACCACTGCATATTCACTCCACCAATATTGTAAATTTGGCGCTGCTGAAGAAGCAGAGAACAGTTAGGGAGCGAACACAAAAGTGAAAAAGGAAAACAGAGGCGCCACAGTTAGTTTTCAAACCCAGTCTGGTTCTCTGCAGCTTTGCGCTGGTTTCCATCCTTCCGGCAGTCTAACGAGTTCCTCCTAAACTCGGGTCTGGGCCAGTCACTCCCTGGAGGCGCTCTCAGGCTGGGAGCCTAGGCGCCCGGGCTCATGATGCCTGGAGAAGGACAATCGGCGGCAACCCAGCCAGAGCTCCAAGCACCTGGGGTTAAAACGGGTAGCACCTACAACCCGGCAGCAAGATTGGTTCCTTAAAAAGAAACAGCTGCCGTATTCTGGCCAGGGAGGGACGTTTGCGTTCCAGGTGACTCAAACGCCAAGGTCAAGTACTCAGCAGTTGGCCATTCCATCGTCCAATGAGGAGCGCGTCTCTCACGCTTTCCCGGTGGCTGTGTCCTGCTCCCCAAGGTGCTGACCCCATGCTCCCCAGGCAAGCCTCCTCCCACTGCAGGGAGGTCAAGGGCCAGGGAAAGGTGCGCCCTAGAAACGACACAGGCCCTGTCCTTGCAACTCACCCCGCTCCCGCCCACACCGCCCATCTCGGGTGTGCCTCGGGGGCTCTGAGGGGCTGGACGCGACCGCCGCACTCACCTGTCCGGCTCTCAGCGCCAGTTGCACCGCCACCTCGAAGCACTCGTCCCAGGGGCCCACGCCCTGGACCACCTCCTCCTCCTCGCTGCTCGGCTTCATCGCGGCTTCGCCGGGCCCAGCCACCTTCTGCTCCGTTCCGTGTGCTGCGGACGAACCTCGGCTCCCACTCGTTGCCGCCGCCAGCCCCGGAGGCTCCCGCAGGCTCTCCTCGCCTTCCCGCCAAGCCGTGCCTCCTCCCGCGCGCCTTGCAGCAGGAAGGCCCACAGGGGGCTGCAGCCCAAGTAGGCGCGCCTCGCGCCCCGCCCCGCCCCGTCTCCGCCCCAATTCAAGACCTTGCCCCGCCTTTCCCTTAAGACCACGCCCCTCTGCATTAGCTCCGCCTTCCACGATAGGCCCGCCCCTCCCCCTCGCCCTTTGCGGAGTTAGCTCCGCCCTCTTCCCGCCCCCATCTCACTCCCTGCCCCGCCTGCCCCGCCCGTGCTCGCTCCGCCTAGCCACGCTCCAAGACGGGCCCACTTCCCAGCTTGTCCTAGCCTAGGCGGGAGATCAGGGTGGGCACTTCCAGCCCCTGGCGGCTGGTGATGGGCGGCCTCGGAACTCATCCCGCAGACATACGTAACTGCGCCGTCCCCAGGTGGGAGGGAGCTGCAGGCCAAACACCCAGACGGTCCCTGGGTTTCCTAAACTGTTTAGACTCAAAACTTGTTTGGAGCCCTCGCTGTGACTGTGATTAGGATTTCTGTAGCGAGGAGTGACCTTTTTAACCTTGGCCGCAAAAAGCTATTCCAGGCCTGTTATGAAAATGCAAATACTAGGAAGGCGTTCCCCTGAGTGTCCAAGAGTTTAACTTCAGGAGTCCCTCTAAACCACCACTTTTATACAAATCAACCCACAGCCGCGGTGGCGCACGCCTTTAATCCAGCACTTGGGGAGGCAGAGGCAGGTGGATCTCTGGGAGTCTGAGCCTATCCTGGTCTAGAAAGTTCCAGGACAGCAAGGGTTACACACAAAGAAAAACAAAACAAAACAAAAATCGACCCACATAAAATTATTCTGGAGTGCCACTTCTCACAGTCTGGGAGAATGGTTATTTGTGTAAAAACCTTGATGAGACTTTTTTTTTTCCTGAGTTAACCTAAAGATGGCAGTAAACCCTTTTAGCTACAGTCAACTTTAAGGACCCTGCTTCGCCCCATGACACAGAAAAGGGGACCAATGATTGCTGCGGTTAGTGTGAAGCCTCTGAAGGCATTTTTCTCCTCCATCTTTGTTCGTGTTTTTTTCTTTGGTTGGTTTTTCCATAATGTTCAAGAGTGTTGGGCTTCAGAATATGCCTGAAACTGCTCTGAATGCCTCTTCTGTAAGTGAAATGTGGGACAAGTGAAGATGGCTCAGCATGTTCCCTGCAGAGCCTGATAAACTAAGTTCGACCCCTGAAATCTACATGGTAGGAGAGAGCCCACTCCCAAAAATTGCCTTCTAACCACATGCATACGTTGTCTGATTTGTTTTGTTTTTCGAGACAGGGTTTCTTTATGAAACAAAGCCCTGGCTGCCCTGGACTCCCTTTGTCCAGTAGGGTGGCTTCAAAGTCACAGAGATCCGCCTGCCTCTGCCTCCAAAGTGCTGGGATTAAAGGTGTGCAGCACCACGACCGGCTATGCAAGATTTTTTTTTTTTTTTTAATTAAAAAAACGAGAGCATGACCACTCCAAGGTATGGCTGAAAAGGTTTATTGTACAGCCAGAGACATCAAGAAGAGTCCAACCTGAACGTGTCCACTGGACTGTACCAGGCCATGGGGGGCTGGGGATAGGAGAGAGGAGTAAGGGAGCCAAGAACTAAGAGAACCAAAGAGAGCGAGCAGCCAAAACGACTACCTTTCATAGGGAAGAGAAGCTGGGGTAAGAGAAGCCCAGCCCCTGGGAGGGAGAGGTTTAGGGTAGGGGAAGGGTGAGGAGTGCTGGGAGGAGCCACAGGCACTGAGTGAGACTTGTCCCGGGGTTTCTTTGAACCCCAACAAAAAGTAAAAAGCGGTCGGTGTTGCACTGCTGATTTTCATTGCAGATGACAGCTAAGGATAATAAAAGTTGCCACCTCCCTCCCGACCCCCCGCACTGCGGTCCAATCTAGAATAATAAAAATGTTATTGCATATATCAACACCTGCAGAAAATCTTGATAACTTCGTCGTTGTCTAACTGACATTATTCTGACAGAGGCAGAACGGTGTGCTTTTGACAAGTATGAAGATTGAAGCCAGCCAGGTTTCTGTTTTCCCATTCAAATACACAGTGGTTTTTGTGATTATTACATGAGTTAATATTCCTGTGCTTGACACTCATGCATTTTCTGTAGGTACAGTCTAGTGGCCTGTGCAGGGGCCCTGGGTCCTGTCCTCAGAACAGGACCTTAAGAACCCCAAAAGGTGCTGATTAATAATGCACCAACATAGCCTCAAGAGCCTAATATACCGGGTGCCATATAACTGATATTTAATATGTCTAAGTTATGTGCCTTGAATGCTTGAAGAAATTCAATTTCTGGCATTACAAAAATTAAATAAATTAAATAAATCTGTTACTCACTGAATACTGAAATCAGCCTTTTATAATAGATAACACTCCCCTTCCTGCTGGGTGGTGGTGGCACATGCCTTTAATGCAGATCTCTGTGAGTTCCAGGCCAGTATGGGTCTACGGAGCCAGTTCCAGGACAGCCAGGTCTACACAGAGAAACACTGTCTCAAAAAACAAACAAAATGAAACAAACAAACAAACAAACAAAAATCACTCCACACCTCTAAATGACAAGTCTCTGTGGACAAGCGACAGAGCTCTCCACCTGCCAGCCTCCTGTTGCCGAATTTAACTTCCGAAAGTCTCAGTGTGCTCTGGCTTGAAAAACTCCTTCTCAACTTCCACTTCCTTTGAGGTCCCCAGGGTACACCCTCAATGTGCACATAGGTCACCAGGAGGCCTCATGCAAAGTATGTGGGCAGGGGCCCAAAAATCAGGAGGCGGCAGTGTGCAAGGACTCTTCTGTCCTTTCCGGAGCAGAGCAAAGGCCAAAGAAGTAAAATGCCAGGCAAAGGTATCTTCTATCTACCTCTCCAAAAGGTTGCTTTGAAATGACATATTATGTTCCAAGGCCAAATAAGTCAAAGAAACTGGCCTGGACTTTGTATCTACTTTTCTGTGGGTTTCATTTTATTAATGCTTCCCTGAAAGTGGACTCCTGATAATGTCTGAGCATTAGAAACCTTATGTGTAGAAGGCTGCTGTTTAGAGCTGAATTTTATTTTGTCTTTTCCCCACCTGCCCCCCCACCATTAACTGGGTGTAATGGCACATGCCTTTAATCCTGGCACTCAGGAGGCAGAGGCAGGCAGATCTTGGAGTTTGAGGCCAGCCTTGTCTACAGACTGAGTTCCAGGACAGCCAGGACTGCACAGAGAAACCCCGTCTCACAGACATCTACCTGCTTCCCAAATGCTGGGATTAATGTGGAGCAGGACCACAGCCTTGGGGGCAGGGGTGGGGGGCTGCTTTAAAGAATTGGATTTGGTCAGGGACTTGTTGAAGTTCTAGGAAGTGGGAGCTTGTATATAGAAAGACGTGTGGGGCAGCTACCACAAGCCAAGTAGAGATACTTTGGGAAAAAAATTAACCTGCCCACACCTTGATCGTAGATAAGCAGTCTCCGGAACATCAAGGATTTGTGGTGGCTGAGCCTCCTAGATGCTCTGGGATGCAGCTCAGTGGTGGACTGCCTTCCTAGTATGTACCAGGTCCTGGCCTCAGACCCTATCGCCACAAGTAGGCAAACCTCCCCAGCTATGACACTTTGTATTGGCACCTCAGACTGACACAGGGAATTAAGGTGGTGCCCCGTGCACCCGAGATACAGGTTATAAAGAATTCTTTTCAGCGGACAAGTCTTGCAATGGAGAGCCAGACCCCTGCCTACCTATCACCTGGCTCAAGAGCCCAGAGCCGCTTAGCTCTTGGAGTCAGTCAGCCCCAGATGTTTTACTAAATCAAGTCAGAAGGGTGGCTGCCGACAAATGCTGGGCAGGTACATGTTACTCACACTGTGCCTGGATCTGCAACAGGAACAATTCTTGTATCCACTTTGTAGCTCTCCCCTAGAAGAGTCATTTCTTAAATAATTCTCCTGAGAGTATATTTCTCACTTATTTCCACTAGAAAACTAGAGATGCTTTTCTTCTGGGAAAATCTCCAAAATCACATGCCCCCTCCCTGTTCGTGGAAGAGATACTAACGTGCTCATCAGTCTCCTTCCTGCTGAGTGGAACCTTGTCCCCGCTTCTCCCTGAGAACTCAGTGCAAAGCTTCTCTGGACTTGTCTTTTGTCTTTGCTTTGCCCTGCAGTCACTCCTCAGTCTCCTTTTTTTTTAGATCCTGGATGCTATGAAATGGCCTTTCAACTATTGTCACCACCTTCATTCTATTAAACTTGAACTACAAGGCCATAGTCCTCTAAAATTTTCCATCCTATGCGTCTGTAGTTGTTCATGGTGACATTAATGAAAATTAACAGTGCTGGCACAGCATTTGGCATTCTGTGGTCCAGAGAGTCAGTTGTGTGGTGTGTAGCTCTTTTCATTTCCCTTCACTGAAGTTCGGTTTCTTGCCTCCCTTCCTCCTGGTAGGATGAAAACAACTTGCTTGCTCTCAAACAGCTCAGACATGTTAATGGAAAGCAAGGACTCTGTTGTAAAGGAAAAAAAGGAAGTAGATTATTCTGGCTAAATATGAGTGACTAGACATAGGAAGGAACACAGATTCAAGGTACTCTGGTGTGCTGGTTAGTTTTTGTCAGCTTGACATAATCTAGGGTCTTCTGGAATAACAGAACCTCAATTGGAAAATTTCCCCCATAAGATTGGCCTGCAGGCAAATCTGTGAGGCATTTTCTTTTTTTATTTTTATTTTAATTTTTATTAATTATACTTTATTCACTTTGTATTCCCCCATAAGCCCCTCCTGCCTCCCTTCCCAATTCCACCTTCCCTTCCCCTTCTCCATGCATGCCCTCCCCAAGTCTACTGATAGGGGAGGTCTTCCTCTCCTTTCTTCTGATCCTAGTCTATCAGATCTCATCAGGAGTGGCTGCATTGTCTTCCTCTGTGGCCTGGTAAGGCTGTTCCCCCCTCAGGGAGAGGTGATCAAAGAGCAGGCCAATCAGCTCATGTCAGAGGCAGTCCCTGGTCCCATTACTATGGAACCCACTTGGACACTGAACTGCCACGGGCTACATCTGTGCAGGGGTT